CAATGTTATTAACTATTATGACCTCAGTAAAATTAAAACAAATTTACCATTTGAGCCATTTTTAAGTGAATAATTGAGTGACATTTGTACCTTCACGTTGTCCCGCAACCATCAGCACCATCCATCGCCACAACTTTTTCATCATCCCAAACTGAAACTCTGTCCCCCTTAAACAATAGCTTTCATTTCCCCCTCTCCCAGCCCCTGGCAACCACCCTTCTACTTTCTGTCTCTCTGAATTTGACTACTCTGGGTACCTCATAGCAGTGAAATCATACAGTATATGTCTTTTTGTGACTGGCTTCTTTCACTTGGAAACACATCCTCAAGTTTCATCCATGTTGTACCATGTATCAGAATTTCCTTTTTTTTTAAGGCTAAATAATATTCTGTCGTATGTATGTATCACATTATATTCATCCATTCATCTGTTGATGGACACTGGGTTGCTTCTGCCTTTCGGCTGTTGTAAATAATGGTGCCATGAACATGGGAGTACAAGTATCTGTTTGTGTCTTTGCTTTCGTTTCTTTTATTATATACTCAGATGTGGAATTTCTAGATCGTATGGTAATTCTACATTTAATTTTTTGAGGAATTGGCATAATGTTTTCCATAGTCACTGCCCCATTTTACATTCCCACCAGCAACGCACAAGTGTTCCAATTTCTCCGCATCCTCTTCAACATTTGTTATAGTCTGTTTTTTTTATTTTGTTTTTAATAATAGCCATACTAACCGGTGTAAAGTGATATCTCATTGTGAATTTTTTTTTCTGCATAATCAATGTTGGAGATGGGTTCCAGTTTGCCCTCATGGATTCTGGTTCTCATGAGGCCCACATTCTCCTTGCAGTTTCTTTGTCTTTGCACTTCTCCAGCTTTTCTTCTGACCTCCAGATCTGCAGACTACAATGACTTCAGACCTATTACCACGTACAATGGGAATAGACTACCATTGACTTTTTTCTACCTCCAACATTGTATAAAGTTTAAACCCTATCATATACCCCTTATTCCATATCATGAATAATGGTTTTACTTTTCTGATCAAATCCTATGTGGTATACAATTGGTATACCTTCATTGGGCATTGGAGCTTTGGCTATAAATTGTCGTCCTTCATCTTGGTTAGTGCCCTATGGCCTGTTGTACTTTTTCTGATATCAGGATTACAGCTCCTGCTTTTTTCAAGTTGACTTTTACTTTATGACCAAATTTGAAAATCTTTTAATAGGCAAATTAAGCTCATTTGTAAATTGATTTTCTGATGTGATTTGGTCTCAACTCTGTCATATTATTTTCTATTATAATTACTGCATGTATTGTGCAATATTTATTGTGTTTCTTTTGATATTTGGTATGTATTCTTTGCTATTTAAAAAATTTTTCTTTTAGGGTTTTGGAATAGGGTTTCTGATATTTTGGAATATTTATATTCTGCTTTAGTGGTTAAGTTTTTATATTTTTATAGTGCCCTTAATTCCTTTCTTTGCTTCTTAACCTTTAACATCTAGTCTGTCCATTTTATACGGCCTCCTTTAACTTGCATGTATTACCTATTCAATGTCAATGATATGACTCTGTTTTCCCTTTTTCTCTCTCTCCTCTCCTTCATTGGTTTTTAGTCACACTTGTTCTACTTTATTAGGCAGTATCATGTGTACGCACTATTCTTCTACTAATTAAATACATGAATGCTCTCTGTCAGTCATTTGGCTGGTTTCCTCACTTATCTCTCTGTTTGGGGAAGCTCATTCTCCAGGAAAGGTATGTGATGTTCTCTGAACTTTTGCTCTCAGTTCACATTTGTTTGTCTATAGCCTTGGTCTTGAAGGCTGGACACCAACATCCTTGGCTGGTACTTTCTTTCCTTGAGTGTCTTGTAAATGCTGCTCTACTGATGCCTCGCTTTATATGTTGTTCTCAAGAAGTCTGATGCCAGCTTAAATTTTTATCTCTACAAGTAATTTGATCTTTTTGTCTTTAAAATCCAATAGTTTTACTAAGATATGTTTTGGAGTTGATTGTTCCAGACCAGTTTTCCAAGGGACGTGGAAGTTACTTTTGATATGTAATTTAAATTTTCTCTTACTTTTGGATTATTTTCTAGGATTATAGCTTTTTTGCCCAATTTTATTGAGATATGATTGACATAGAGCACTGCATAAGTGTAAGGTGTATAGCATCGTGATTTGACTAACACATATTGTGAAATGATTACCACAATACGTTTAGTTAACATCCGTCTTCTCATATAGACACACACACACACAAAATGTTTTTTTCCTTACAATGAGAACTCTTAGGACCTACTCTGTTAATAACTGTCAAATATACCACACAGCAGTGGTAACTACAGTCACCATGTTGTACATTACATCTGAGATTATAGTTTCAACATTAATTCTGTTTCACCATTTTGTGTTTCTACTTCAGGGACTCCAGTTATATGTATTTTGGTTCTTCTTTCCTGGCTTTCATTTCAGTCACTTATCTTTGAACCTTTTTTACTTCTTTCCTTATCTTATTTTCAATTTCTTGATTATTTTCTTGCCATTCTTCAGTGTCCTTCTATATATTTATATTTGAGTATATTCTCCCTTGGGCACCTTGTAATTATTGTTTCTGGGATAGTTTTGTCTTTATTTTCAAATGTTTTCCTGAATTTGATCAACTCTGGTTGCATTTCTTCCTAATTTTTGTCTGGTCTGTTCTTAGTCCCTGAATTCCTGATTCTAGCTGTGTGTGTGTGTGTGTGTGTGTGTATCCAAATACATGATACTTTGTTCAGTTTGATAGTTTATGTGGTGTTACAATTTTCTCCTGCTTTGTGGTTTTATGGGGGGGGAGATTTTCATCAGCTAAATGGTATGATTCATTTTTTCATCATAAGAAATGTGATTGATTTTATTTTCTTTTTGCAGTAACTTTGCAGTTGATTTGATGCTGTTCTGTTACTAGGCATTTTGACACAGCGTTCCTAGTTCAAGAATATTCTCTTCTGTCTGTACACTGAAGTGCAGTTTTTAATAGATAGCAGTGGCTGAGGGAGGGATTGGTTGTCTTTTATTTCTGTAGCATCTTTAATTTTCCCTTCTTACTTCCTTCTTTCCCTTCACTGCCAGGCCTCCCAAGGGTATTGTCCTTTCTCTATCTATCTGACTTTTCCCAGGAGCAAGGCTTCTTCAAGGCTGTCACCTCCTGTCTCATTCTCTTTGAAACCTCTTCCTTGCTTCAGTCAAGTAACCGGACTGTGTTCAGATTTTAGTTCTTAGTGGTGGACTCTCTGTAGAGAGGGATTTAGCCTGGGCCTCACTTAAGTCCCGGGCAACAGTGGAGGGAGCTTTGTTGGAATTTGATGTGTCTTTTTTCTACTTAAGTAATTCCAAGTTCAGTTCACGGCCTTCCCACTCCTGCTAGTGCTGAAGGTTTGTTTGCTTGTGTTTGTATTTCGTTGAGGATATGAGTAGAGATTCAGATTCAGGCAACTGCCATTATTTTCTAGACACGAAAGCTCCTGAAATCACTTTTAAAATATCAAGTGCAGGGCCACCCCAGTGGCTTAGTTGGTAAGTTCGTGCCCTCTGCTTCGGTGGCCCGGGGTTCTCAGGCCCAGATCCCAGGAGCCAACCTATGCACCACTTACTGAGCCATGCTGTGGCAGGGGTCCCACATATAAAGTAGAGGAAGATGGGCACAGATGCTAGCTCAGGGCCAATCTTCCTCAGCAAAAAGAGGAGGATTGGCAACAGATGTTAGTTCAGGGCTAATCTTCCCCCCCCCCCCCCCCCCCCCAAAAAAGCAATCAAGTTGCCAAGTAACATTTCTTTCTTTCCTAGGAGCACTGGAAACTTTGTCCGTTAGAAGAGCATCGTCAAGGTTACATAGGTTCTGTTACAAGACAGATCTGTCTTCTTGCAACGTTAAAGATATTTAGTGTGCTAGCTCTTCTTTCTTTTTTAAGAAAGCAACCAATTAAAAAGAAAAGAATTAAAATATATATAGTGCCTTCCTTCTTCCTTATTTCATGTTTATTAGAAACAAACCAAAACAACTCAGCTATTAAGCGTTCTGTCCATCCTCGGAAAAATGTTCCCTTGAAAATTATTTGTCAGTTTCTACTTCTAGGCCACCCACCTCTGCCTAAATAAATAAATAAAATTGACACCCGGGGATCAGGGATGTTTTGCTGCAAGATTAGTAACAAAACTGCAGCGAGCAGCCGCAAAGTCGGGTTCAGGAAGGGGGTTTGCACCAAAAAACTCAGGTCCGTCGGCCAGTAAGAGCAAGCCTGTTAAGGGTCTGAGGTGGTCCCAAAGACCGAAGACTGAAGAGGTGAAAATCTCAGCCGGGCAGCGCGAGGCAGCAATGACAGAGAGTGTCCCTTGTGCGTGTGCACGTGTGTGTGCGCACGTGTGCACGCGCCTCTCCCGGATTTCGGGCAGCCACCTGTCACTCACCGGGGCAGAGGGGCAGCGGCGGGCGGACGCAGAGGGGGCGGGGCGGCGGCCGGGGCGGGGCGCGCGAGGCGGGCCCGGGGGAGGACCTACCGCCGCTGCCCTCCTGGCGGAGCCCGGCGTGCTGCAGCCATGGAGACGCGGTAATCCCCTCCTCCGGCCGGCGCCCGGGCCCCCGCAGCCGCCGCCGATTGGTCGCCCTTTGCTCCCTGACCCCCTCGCCGCCTCCGAGCCGCCGCTTCCTGCTCGGGCGCCGCGCGGCGCTCCCGGCCTGGGCGGAGCTCGGGG